GAGACTTGTTAAAGCTTTGAAGAATTTTGTGAGAAGAGACAAAGAAAAAATGAAAAGAAATCAACTTCTAGGACATTATTTTAATGGATGAAAAATCAAAATTGTTAAAAGGAAGGAATGTAAAGTTGGTTTATTTGATCAAGATTAAAATAGATATGTCATTATCTCTGGTAACCCTCAATGGACTTTTGCTGATCAGGACTGAACTACAAGGGTTTAAGGATTTGTTTATATATAAGAGATGGGATATGGGAAGAAGAGATCATTTGTTGTATTTTAAGAGAAGGTGATAAATTACTAAAATTGTTTATATTTGTGATGAAGGGAGGTTGTTTCTTTATATACTTCTTTTCTTTTTCTTTACTATATTCTTTTTTCTTCTTTCTTTTCTATTCTTTCTGCACTTTCTATTTTTTCTTTTTATTGTTTTATTATTTTAGTTTGTATTAGTTTTTATCTTTTTAATTGTAATTTTTAATAAAATTACGATAAAAATTGTTTTTACTTGTGATGAAAATTGGAAGTTACTTCTTTATATATTTTTTCTTTTTCTTACTTCTTTTTTCTTTTTCTTTCTTTGAACTTATTATTTCTTTCTATTTCTTTTTCTTTTTCTGAGTTTAGCTTGTATTCATTTTTACTACTGTAATTAAAATCTTTAATAAACGTTATGAAAAAAACAGAACATTAAGTGCAGCCCAGAGAACACCCTGCAGCCAAATCCTTACCTGTCTGGGTCCCCAGGAGACCCCCAATCTTCTCTATCCCTGCAGAAGAGGCTGGAGTTCTACCTGTCTATCCTTCTCCATGCTCACCTTGGGTTGTCACTGCTGAGTTCATTAGGGCCCCAGCAGCATTGGCTCGAACCTCCTCATCCTCATCTTCCAGCAGGGTGACCAGGTCAGGGAAAACATTTTCTGCAAAGACCATGTTCTTCCCCTCCAACGGAACACTGAAGTGAAAAAGCAATACATTTAGATCAGCTGAGATTGGTCTACTGCCTTCTGACTAGTCAACCAGGCCAAACCGAAACTGCTCTTACCAGGCATGGAGCTATCTGGAAAATCCTTCCCTGCCTGTACCTTTGAGATGTGCGATGCACTGGTGTGACCTCACCTGATGGCCATGAGGGCCTGGGCAGCTTTGCTCCTGATGCCCAATGAGGGATCCTGGAGCTTCTCCTTCAGTATAGAAACAGCTCCACTGGCCAAGGCCTCAAAGGCTTCAACTCTCAAGCAGCCTGTCAGGGTCTCCAAGATTAGTTCCTGGATATTCTCCTCCTCTGTCCTCAGCTTGCGCACCAGCGATGGAATCAAGCTGCTCTCTACAATCTCAACAGCCCCTGCAAGAACAAAGAATAGATTTACCCTTCACCATCCTGTCCAGCTGCCTGCAGAAAAGCAAGGACAAGAAGCTTCATGCAATCCCAAGCTTTCTGCCAACCTTGGTCAGTCCTGTCCTTGAGAGAAAATGGGGTGAAGTATTGGTTATCCCACTGGTTGGGATATTCAGCAAGAACTGCAGTTGCACTAAAATGTCCCAACACCCCTATCCCCAAGCCCCATTCTGGGTTCTTCTCTTACTGTTTGGGCCTTTCCAAAGTCTTTCTTACTATTGTTGCTGTTCAAGCCCATCTATCCTTCGGGGAATCCACATATTGTACAGGTAATCCTTGTTTAGTGATTGCCTGGGATAGCAACCTTATGGCCATGATGTAAATACTCACATTTAAGGCAACAAAAACCTTCAGTGTGAAACTGATTAAGGTCTGGTCAGTTTCAGACAGCAGCTGCAGCTGCTGGAGGATTCTAGTCAACTAATTAAGGTCTGCTTATATTCTGCCCCTAATATGAACATTTCTAGGAAGGCCAGACAACTTCTGTGTGAGCCATCTTCTAGGAGATTCAAAACCCTTTATCACTTGTGCAGTAGCCAAATTCTGTGTTGCCCTGATGAAAATAAGGCATAACTGGTCACAGAAATAACCTGTTTCAAGACAGTGATTGTTCAGTTTCATCACTTCACGTTTAATACATGCTAGCTATCTTGTTTTAGGTGATATATATTTTTACTTCATAAATTGTAATATGTTTGATTTACAGTTGCAGAGGTAATTAAAACACCATTATAGTAGTGTAGGTTACATTATTTGTTATTTTATTTTTTTTATGCTAGTATTTTATCTTATCTATTTGATTTTACTTTTGTATTGTATTTTTTTCAAATTTTCCTGGTCATTGACCAAATAAACAGTATTTCACTAATTAAAGCTTGTTATAGCACATTTTAGGGAAGTGCTGTGCTGCAGAGAAAAGTACCTCAGGAAGAGATAGCTTGTTTAGGCAATCTCTCTGCCCTGTAAGGGGGCAAAAAAAGGAGGAAAAAAAAAACAGGTCAGGCACAGGATACTGTATGCTGTATAACTTTATCTGAATGCGATGGCAGCAACCAGTGATCTTCATAGCATCTATCTCTCTCAGTCATGTGGTTACACCATTACACTGGAACCAATTGCAGTCACTAAACGAGGACTGCATGGTTATGAACCAAATCAAATCTTCTCTATTCTTTGACTGTTGGGAATGTATTTCTAGAGGGAGTTTGCAGAAGGTCTGGCCACTCAGGTACAACATGGGGATAGGCCCTCAAGCCTGCAGCAGCAATCTCTCCAGAGAGATAAAATTAAAATAAAGACTAGGTGGCAAGATTCTCAGTGATCTCTGCAGACCTCTCAGCAGCATTCTGCTCACGTTGGAGCCAGAGGGCTTCAGTGAGAGCTGGAGGGATAGAGAATGGAAGGACAAGACAGAAACCTTGGATGCCAACCTAGAGTATCAAGCAGTCCCACATGCTGAGTTTTATCTACAGAAATTATGATGACAATAATTTATTAGATTTAGATTATTAGAATAATTTATTAGATTTAGAGGCCACCCAACATCAGAGAGTATCTGAATAGCTTACAGTTAAAAACACACACACAATTAAGAGAAAAACTAAAGTGGACATTTCATTTAGCAAAATCCCACCACCACCAACAGGATTCCCTAACTGATCTATCCCAAACCTTGGGAGGACAGCCGAGTTTGTAAAGACTTCTGGAACCCCATCAGGGCGGGAGCCACACATATCTCTGGGCAGCTAGCAAGGGCAGGCACCAGGATAGAGAAGGCACACCTCCTGGGTCCTGATAGATGTCATTGTTTGACTGAAGGGACCAAAGCAGATGAACAGAAGCCATGGGAGATAGGCGGTCCTCAAATAACCAGGCCCTATACCATGAAGGGCTTTATAGATGCAGCAACTTGAATGGTGCCCAAAGTTTCCTGGCAATCAGTGCAGCTTACAGAGCAGTGGTGTCACATGGGCATACCAAGGCAAGCCCATCATTGCCCATGCCATTGCATTCTGGACTTTCAAGAGCAGCCTCATATACAGTGCATTGCAATAATCCAACTATGAAGTGACAATGGCATATGTGATGGTCTGAAGGGCCTCCATATCCAGGAATGGGCACAACTGGAGCACCAGATGAAGCTGTGCAAAGGCCCTTTTGGCCACAGCTGCCACCTGTTCTTTGAGCAGGAGTTGCAAGCCCAAGATGACTCTCAGATTGTGCACCAGTCTCGCATGGGGAAATGCAAGTCCATCCAAGACTGAAAACAGAAAGTCCTCAGATCTAGGAGAGGGATGTGTGTCAAAAATCCACAGCATTTGGTGTTGACAGGATTAAGCCCGAGCCTTTCCATCTAGACCTGCACAGGACATTGGTAGCATCACTTGGCTGGCCCAGAGTCAAAATGTATAACTGAGTATCATCTGCATATTGTTGATACTAGACTCTGAAGCAGCAAATAACCTTCCCCAGCAGTTTCTTGGATATGTTAAACAGGAAGGGAGAGAGTGTCAAGCTCTGAAGGGCCAAGGGCATGCCAGTCTTGCGAGGTAGTCCAGACATGAAGCACGGCCAGATGAAGTAATTCTATCAGAACCTCGCAATCCAATGCTTCTAGTTGCTAGCTCGCGTGCTCGTTTCTGCCGTTACAGTAGAAGTGGGGGGGAGGAATGGAATGTGAACCATTAAGCGCAGATGGGTTGTTATCCGGTGCCCAGGACTTCCATGGCCATGCCAACCTGGGAACCTGAGGACATCGCTGACATGCACAACAGAGTTTCAAAGACTGAAGGGGTGGTGGTAAAATGGGATTGGAGTAAAACTGGGTTTTGGCACACGTGGGATTCAGTTCCAGCAATGCTTTAGAGCTGTATACTACTTTCCAATAAATGAACTTTTCTTTGAACTTCTATTGTTTCAATGGGAGTTGCTTTCGTTGGGAACTGAGTACCGCGGTTCTTACATATTGCTGGAACTGAGTCCCTTACAAATTCTACTTTACTGTAAGGTTATATTAACAGAATCATGCAAGTCTGAAAGTACGTTTCTCCCCCCTCGCCTTTACAGCCCAAGAAACTAGGGAGGGTCCCTTCTGAGCTGCTTGCCCCTCCCACATGCTGCGGGCTAAGTTGCCCTTTATCTGACCGTTCCCTGGGCTGTGTCTCTTCTCCCTGTCTCTCAAAGTCATTCCCACAGACCATTACCAGCGTGATCTCTCTCCCCATCAGTACCAACTGGAACTGGCTGCTGAGAAAGAAGAACCACCATAACGTGGTGCCCCCAACTTCCAAACCCTGTAGACAGTCCAGAAGGATGCCATGATCAATAGTATCAAAGCCACTGACAGATCAAAGAATACAGGGATGGACACATCATTCCCACCCCAGCCCTGTCAAATGTCATCAATAAGCACAACCAGTGTTGTCTCTGTACTGAATCCCATCCTAAACCCGATTGAAATGAGTTCAGATAATCACCTTCTTCCAGGATCCTCTGCAACTGCTGTCCAACCAAGGTAAGACTGGAGACAGGATAATTATCTAGTATCATAGGATCCGAGAACAGCTTCTTGAGGAGGGAATACACCACTGCCTCCTTCAATGCTAATGGAACCACTTGCTCTCTCAAAGAAACTGCCATCATTGCATAGGCCCAGCTACAGGTCCCAGGCAGTCTTGACAACCCAGGACAGACCTGGATCTAATAAGCAGGTGGCCGAACTCACAGTATGGAGAACACTGTCCACCTCATCAAGAATCACAGACTCAGATTCATCCCAGATAGCACCACAAGACTGTGCCCCAGGCACCTCAACTTTACTTGTTAGTCAAAGTGCAACTCTGAGCAGATCTAAATGGCTTTATCCACCAGATAGATTTGAGAGTCCCCTGGACTGCTAGGAGGTCAAACCAGTCAATCTTAAAGGAAATCAACCCTGATTGCTCATTGGAAGG